AGGCAGGAAAGTCCGTGAGACTCTTATTTCCAATTAACCACTCAAAAACCATAAGTGGTACTGTGGCTCAAGTGGTACAACACTAGCCTTGAGCTGAACAGCTGAGGGACAGCACCCAGGCCCAGAGTTCAAGCCCTACCACCAACACACACACACACACACACACACACACACACACACACAAAGCAAAGAAAACCTTTCTTCTAGTCATCTTACAAACACTTCTAACTACTATAGTAAAGAAAAAGGGGGGGGGGGGGGAGGATGGGAAGGGATGGGAAGGGGAAACAAAGGAGGAGGCTACAATGCCTGATAAGAAATGTACTCATTATCTTGCCCATGCAATTGTAACCCCTCTGTACAGTATATTCACAATAAAAAATAAATAAAAATTAAAAAAAGAAAGAAAAAGTCTAAGTGAAACATAGCATTTACAATAAACAGATTTATAATAAAATCTATACTAACAAATAGCTTCTCATTTGATTTACTCAAATTCAGCCAATTACTCTTCATAGAAACATATTTGGCCAACATAAAAACATTTTGTTCATGTAAGAATAAAATTATGAATTTTTTTCCACAGAAAGTAATAGATTTCTGTTTTATCTCCAGACCCTAAATACCCCACATATAATCAGGCAGTATACTGTTATAAAGTTGTGGCCTGGATATGAGGGCGATCTGGCTGCGACATCTGTCACCCCACTGATCACCAGGGTTGATTCGGCTGATCTGGCTGGCTAGGCGGGTGTCCCCTTCCTCCCTCACCGCTCCACGTACGGCCCTCCTGAAGCTGCGCGCTCGGTCAAAGAGGACGACCATCCCTGATAGAGGACCGGTCTTTGGTCAGGGTATATGAGTAGCTGCCCTCCCCTGCTAGAACCTCCAAACAAGCTCTCAAGGTCCATAAAGTCTGTGGCCTTAAATAGTTATTTACTTGATACAAGAAAACTTAGCATATCAGCAGCCTACCCTAGTCAAGTATGGGAAAGAACAAGAAACAAATCAGAATGTGACCACTTTTACAGGAAAAGAACTATAAATTAGTACGTGCAAGATTCTAATTTTTAATTTAAAAGAATTTTTAATCAGAAAAAAAGACAAACTAAAAAGTGTTTTGGGGTTTTTTGTTTTTGTCGGGTGTGGGTCTTGAACTCTGGGCCTGGGTGCTGTCCCTGAGCTCTTCAGCTCAAGGTTAGTGCTCTACCACTTGAGCAGCAGTACTAGTTCTGGTTTTCTGGTGGTTAATTGGAGATAAGAGTCTCACAGACTTTCCTGTCCCGGCTGGCTGGCTTTGAACAGTGATCCTCAGATCTTAGCCTCCTGAGTGCCTAGGATTACAGGCATGTACCACCGGCATGTACCACCGTCACCTGGACCAAAAAGTGGTTTTTTGTTTGGGGTTGTTTGTTTGTTTTTTATCGGTTATGGGGCCTGAACTCTGGGTCTGGGCGCTGTCCCTGAGTTCTTCAGTTCAAAGCTAGCTTCTACCACTTGAGCCACTTAAGCTTAAGCCACTTATGCTTTTTCTGCTTGTGTGTTGCTGAGGAATCAAACTCAGGGCCTCATGCATGCGAGGCAAGCACTCTACCACTGAGCCACCTTCCCAGCCCCCCCAAAAGTATTTTTAAGTGCTCTTTTTCTTCACACTTTTCTGTTTTACAAATTTTCAGCATTGGATATACACTACTTTTGTAACTGGGCAGGAAGGGGAAATAAACCACCAATTTTTTCACCAGTACTTAAAAAGGTTATAGAACATGAAAATGAAATACACACACAAAATGATTGCAATTACTTTAAAATTAAAGACTGTGGTTACATGCCTATAATCCTAGTTAGTTGGGAGACTAAGACTGGGAGGATCAAGGCTCAAGGCCAGACCAAAAGACTTCTCAACCATAGCTGAGCATTACAGTGGCTCATGCATGTCATCTGAACTATATTGGAGGCTGATGGGAAAGCTTGGACAAAAAAAATCTGAGACTAGCTGGGCACCAGTGGCTCACGCCTGTAATCCTAGCTACTCAGGAGGCTGAGATCTAAGGATCACGTTTCAAAGCCAGCCCAGGCAGGAAAGTCCATGAGACTCTTATCTCCAATAAACCACTACAAAACCGGAAGTGGCACTGTGGCTCAAGCGGTAGAGCGCTTGCTTTGAGCTGAAGAGCACAGGGACAGTGCCCAAGCCCAGAGTTCAAGCCCCACGACCAACCAAAAACAAAAATCTGAGACTCAAATTTAATAGAAGTTGGAAGATGGGCATGATGGCACGTGCCTACCATAACAGCTATAAAGCAAAGCCTAAAAGAGATCTATAGATCACATTGTAGGAGTGTGCTAGAGCAGAAAGCAAGACCCTATCTCCAAAATAACCAATAGGAGCCAGGCACTCGTGAGTGGATCATGCTTGTAATCCTAGCTACTCAGTAGGCTGAGATCTGAGGGTCACAATTTGAAGGTCACAGCCTACGAAGGAAAGTAAGTGAAGCTCTGAAGTCCAGTTAACTACCAAAAGGCTGAAAGTAGAGCGGTAACTCAAGTAGAACAATACCCTTGAGCAAAAAATTATCCTGAGGGCTGGGAAGGTGGCTCAGTGGTAGAGCGCTTGTCTTGCATGCCTGAGGCCCTGGGTTCAATTCCTCAGCATCACATAAGCAGAAGCCAGAAGTGGTGCTGTGATTCAAGTGGTAGAGCGCTGGCCTTGAGCTGAAGAGCTGAGGGACAGCGCCCAGGCCCAGAGTTCAGGCCCCACAACCAGACACCCCCCCCTCAAAAAAAAAATTGTCCTGATTATCTCCATTGTCAGAGACAATGCCCAGGCACTGAGGTCAAGCCCCAGTACAAAATTAAAGAAAAAACCAGCAGGAATCTTTTTTTTATTTTTTATTTTTTTGTCAGTCGTGGAGCTTGAACTCTGGGTCTGGGCGCTGTCCCTCAGCTCTTCAGCTCAAGGCGAGTGCTCTACCACTTGAGCTACAGTGCCACTTCCGGTTTTCTGGTGGTTTATTGGAGATAGGAGTCTCAAGGTCTCTCCTGCCCGGGCTGGCTTTGAACCGTGATCCTCAGATCTCAGCCTCCTGAGTAGCTAGGATTACAGGCGTGAGCCACCAGCGCCCGGCCCAGCAGGAATCTTTAATTCCCATTTCCCATACAGTTTTCCCTTTCTCCATACTTTGTTATACTAAAAAAAACTTACTCAAACTTTCACTTTGTGAGAGTCTTCTTTGTGAAACACCATATATTGCTCTTCCTGAACAGATCCTAAGGACCTATGTAAGTTTCTGTTGAAAATGTGAAGCTGAGAGAACCCTTACCCACCATCTTGTGTCAGAAAGGGACAAACCTGAACCAGGAGTTAAATCTCTCTCAAGGTATATGTATGTAATGTGTTTAGCTTTGGCATTTTTCTTTTTCTAAATCTATGTTATCCAAAATGGAAGGTTTCTGTTCTTCTCCTAGAATAATGACCATTTAAGAGGAGACACAAACCAAGTGTCAGTCAGTGGTTCACTCCTAAAATCCTAGCTAGCTACTCAGGAGGCTGAGATCTGAAGCTCTTCAGTTCAAAGCCAGTCTGGGCAGGAAAGTCCATGAGACTTTTATCTCCAATTAACCACCAAAAAAGCTCAAACAGTAAAAAGCTATCTTTGAGTGAAAAAGGCAAGGGACAACACCAAGGCCCCTCAGACCAATGGGGGGAAGTGGAGGGAGGAAGAGAAAGAGAAAGAGAGAATGGACAACAGAAAAGCAGAGATGAGGAGAAAAGAGAAGTCCATTCCAGGTGTTTCAAGACACCAATTTCATTGCTGGACAGAGATGTTTTCACTTAAAAACAAATATGCTATAAATTATTATGTATGAAGATAATTTGGGATTCGCCGCCTTGGTATTCACTGAAACACAGGCTACTAAGAATACCTTATTTTATAGGAAAAAGCTTTTTATAAATTCAAAACTTTTGTAAAAGTTATTTTAAATAAATAAAAGAGGAGGAAATAGAAGAATCTCATACAAGAGGTCATTCTCAAGTAGGAAAGATATAGGCAAATATAAGGACTTTTTTGTTGCTTTTTTTTTTTTTTTGCCAGTCCTGGGGCTTAAACTGAGGGTCTGGGCCTGTCCCTGAGCTTCTTTTGCTCAAGGCTAGTACTCTACCATTTGAGCCATAGCATCACTTCTGGTTTTTACTGGGTTTTTTTTTTTTTTTTGGTCATGGGGCTTGAACTCTGGGCCTGGGCGCTGTCCCTCAGCTCTTCAGCTCAAGGCGAGCGCTCTACCACTTGAGCCACAGCGCCACTTCCGGTTTTCTGGTGGTTTATTGGAGATAGGAGTCTCACGGTCTCTCCTGCCCGGGCTGGCTTTGAACCGCGATCCTCAGATCTCAGCCTCCTGAGTAGCTAGGATTACAGGCGTGAGCCACCAGCGCCCGGCTGGTTTTTACTGTTTATATGGTATGGAGGAATCAAACCCAGGGCTTCATGGCTTCATGCATGCTAGGCAATTACTCTACCACTAAGCCACATTCCCAGCCCAAGGACATATTTTTTAAAAGGAAAACTAAAGGGTAAGGGGAGAAGGAATGCTTCTGTTCAAAGGATTCTGTACAGTAAGGTTTATCTTAACTGGGAAGTGGACCTTATTAACTAGTGCAAAAAAATCCTAGAAGCATGGCTTAGGGACAGAGTGCTTGCCCAGCAAGAAAAAACAAAATCATACAACTTTCAGTTCAAATCCTAGCACAAAAAAGGAAAGAGAAAGGGAAGGAAGGGAAAAGAAAGGAGAAGGTCAAAATAAGGGCAGCTATATTTGAAGGAAAAATAAGTATAGTTTATTTCTCTGCCTTCTACTATATTATGCTTTAAAAGCTTTTGAGAATGTTATGTCAATTGAAAAAAACTTACAGCACTTATTAACCCTGACCCCAAATCATCCTCTTCACTTTGTCCTGCTTCTTAAACAAACTAGAAACATGAACAAAAAGTCACAGTACTTACATGGGCTTACATCTCGGTATCTGTTTCGATCTCTGTTTTCTGGAAACTTGGCCACTCTATGAGGATAGTCATGAGACTCATTTCGAATTTCCTTAAAATAACAAAGATATATTTCAACATCCCTTTTAAGTATTATACTGAAACATAAATTTCCCCAAGAAGTATACAATAACACTTACTTAGTAGTTTATGACATGCCAAGTACTGGGCAAAGCACATTGTCTATGCTATGTCACTTAATCCTCACAACACTAGTGGAAATAATGCTCTTCACCATTTTACATGTAAAAGATGGCAAGCATTGAGAAATTCAATTTGACAAAGGTTAAATATCTACTAAGTGTCAGCCAAGTCCTTTACACCCAGGCACCTGTGTTTGATGTTTTTAGCTATTTACCGCTTACCATAGGCTTTATTAACATATAGCAGTAAACAAGCATGAAACCCATTATGCAGCAGAATTAATACAATGGACATATTAGTCACAGCATACTCAAATACTGATCTCTCTTGTTGGAGATACCTAAATTCTGGGGTTTCTAACTTAAAATTCTTAGTAATTTCTTCACTTTTATGGCATGTAACTGTTCCTTTGAGAGCAGAAATATCCTCATTATCTCCACTTATTTTTAGAGCCATGATTAACTAGCAACAATATACCTTTAAGGTTCTTTGTATTTCACTATATAAGAAATTCCGTAAAGAATATCTATATTAGCCAGGCGCTGGTGGCTCACGCCTGTAATCCTAGCTACTCAGGAGGCTGAGATCTGAGGATCGCGGTTCAAAGCCAGCCCGGGCAGGAAAGACCGTGAGACTCCTATCTCCAATAAACCACCAGAAAACCGGAAGTGGCGCTGTAGCTCAAGTGGTAGAGTGCTCGCCTTGAGCTGAAGAGCTGAGGGACAGCGCTCAGGCCCAGAGTTCAAGCCCCACGGCCGACCAAAAAAAAAAAAAAAATATCTATATTAAGCAGTCTACCATCTGGTGTACCAAGTATAGGACTTTTTTTTTTGGTCGGTGGTGGGGCTTGAACTCTGGGCCTGGGTGCTGTCCCTCAGCAAGCCTAGCTAGCACTCTACTACTTTGAGACATAGCACCACTTCCTAGATAGATTTTTATCTCCCAAGTCTTTCTAAGAGCTTATCAGGCAAAAATAAAAACATTATTTAGCCCTTATAACCCCGCCCCAAAGTGTGCTTTGTAACAATAAAATTAAGTCAAGCTTTTATTCATGCCACATGAAAGAAAACAGAATTCTAAAAGTTAGGTTATCTAATCTTTTCATTCATTAAAATAGTTCATTTCTTGATGAAATGTCCTTCCAAAATTCCTTACTCTATTCTTATACCCTTGGGCCTAATGCAAAAACTCTTCTGTGAAGAGTCAAAAATATATGGTACTCATTAGACACTAGGTTGAAAATGAACTATACAATTTGTGGGGTGGGGACAGAAGGGAAAAACTGGGAGAGAGTGAGGGACTGGTGACATTGCCCAAGAAGAAATGTACTCATTTTCTGACTCATGTAACTCTAACACCTCTATATATCACCTTCATAATAACAATAAAAAGGAGTCAAAATATTCTCTGCATAAGCCCACCCCATCTTCCTGAGAGAGAAAAAAATGGAGATAAAATGTTATAGAGCCAGGCACCGATGGCTCACGCCTGTAATCCTAGCTATTCAGGAGGCAGAGATCTGAGGATCGAGGTTCAAAGCCAGCCTGGTGAAAGAAAGTCCATGAGATTCTTACTCCAATAAACCACTAGAAAACCGGAAGTGGCGCTATGGCTCAAGTGGTACAGCGCTAGCCTTGAACTGAAGAGCTGAGGGACAGCGCCCAGGCCCAGAGTTCAAACCCAACGACTGACAAACAAAAAAAAGTTACCAAACAAGTATTTTATTATAATTTAGAATGTAATCAGGATACCTATAAACTACAATTATACCACGAAACTAAGTCATACAAATTGAATATCCAAAGTTTTCCATTTTTTGTATTTTTTAAACAATTTCATTAGTCTTTGAAAAGATATTTGTTTACTTTTTATATACTACTTATTAGTCTTTTCTCTTCCATTAGGTCTTTCCTTGCATTTGTTCCCTTTTAAGCAGTTAGGATTGGCTTATTTTATATCTATCCCCTCATACAAGTTCTGATAGAACATGATACACAAGTTCCTAATCTGAGCTCAATGTTTTTATGAAATGAACAAAATGTGAGGGATAATCTTGTAAGACATAAAATATATTATCAATCTGAGGTATACAAAAAGAATTTAATTTTCTTTCCAAATAGAAAGTTACTCGGCATACTCTCGGGTTTTTTTTTTCATTTACTAGTTATACCTACTCTATAATAAACCAAATTTTCATACCATTATATGCTAGACCTACATTCTTCTTTAAATTATAATTTATCACTGAAGCTGGTGGCTCATGCCTGTAATCTGAGGGTTGTGATTCAAAGCTAGCCTCCACAGCAAAGTCTTTAAGATTCATCTACAATGAACAACCAGAAAACCACAAGTGGCAGAGTGTCTCAAAGTGATAAAGCACTAGCCTTAAGCAAAAGACAGAGCCCAGGCAGTGTCCAAGCCCCACAACTGACTACTACTACTAATAATAATAATTAACCACTGAGTAAAATTTTAGTCATGACAGTTTAGTAAAGCATACACACAAGCACATGCAAGTAACTCCTATTTATTCTTTTCATTTGTGATATTAATTCATTTTCTTACTTTCTTAAAGGAAATTATGCTAACCAGGTATGGTGGTGCATGCCTGCAGTCCCAGCCACTTGAGAGGTAGACACAGAATGATCCTGAATTCAAGGCAAGCTTAGTGCAAGTTAGCGAGACCCTATTCTCAAAGTCAATTTTTTTAAAAGGGTGAGGGTGTAGCTCAAGTAGCAGAGTTCTTGCCTAGATACTCCAAGGTCTTAGGTTCAACCCATAGTATTCAAGGCCCAAAAGAGGAAGGAAGGGAGGGAGGAAGTCAGGCAGGCAAAAGGTCTGGCCTTGTTAGTATAAATGGAATTAAAAAAAAAAAAAATCTAGGGCTAGGAAGGTAGATCAGTGGTAGAGCGCTTGCCTTGCATGCCTTAGGCCCTGGGTTCGATTCCTCAGCACCATATAAGCAAAAAGAAAAAAGCTGGAAGTGGAGCTGTGGTTCAAGTGGTATAGAGCGCTAGCCTTGAGCTGAAGAGCTGAGGAACAGAGCCCAGGCCCAGAGTTCAGGCCCCAGGACCGGACCCAAAAAAAAAAAAAAAAAAAAAAATCTATTGGTGGGTGCCGGTGGCTCACACCTGTAATCCTAGCTACTCAGGAGGCTGAGGATCACGGTTCAAAGCCAGCCCAAGCAGGAAAAGTCCATGAGACTCTTATCTCCGATAAGCCTCCAGAAAACCAGAAGTGGTACTGTGGGCTCAAGTGGTAGAGCGCCAGCCTTGAGCTGAAGAGCTGAGGGACAGCGCTCAGGCCCAGAGTTCAAGCCCCATGATCCACCTAAAAATAAATAAACAAATAAATAAATAAATAAATGAGTGAATGAATGAATAAATAAATCTATTGGTCATTACCACATATAGGAAAAAGAATAACTTTTTGAGAGGGGTATAAAACAACAGGTAGAGGATAGGACTCCAATACCTTCAACTGAATTCTTTAATTCTTGTGTTTCTCTCTCTCTCTCTCTCTCTCTCTCTCTCTCTCTCTCTCTCTCTCTCTCTCTCACACACACACACACACACACACACACACACACACACACTTATAAAACATATGGGGATACCTTACAGACAGGTGCAAACAGTAAATCCTCTTTGCAACCCAGAACTCATTACTGATATGAGATTTGGTACATATATGATTCGTACAACAGTTGGCAATGGGTCTGTTAAATCACACAGGTTCTGAGAATTAAGTTGTATAAAAGCAAATTTATGCTTCTCAGAATTAGTAAACATTTCCGTTTTATGTGATTACATGAAGATGGCTTTTTTTTTAAGGCTTCTATTTTGAGAACATGAGGTCTGGAGTTCAAGATAAATTTTTTACTGTGAGATAGGTTATATTTACAGTATTAGCATGTCTCCGAGGTCTACACAACTCCTGTGATATAGGAGAAATTACTATGCTGCCAACTTACGCATAAAAGAACTGGGCAGGCGGTCAGCAGTTGAATCAAGCTGTTGCACATAACTAAAATGATCCCAAATTTGCTTGTAGAATGACATGTCAAAGATTTTAGATGTGTCAGCAGTAATTCTTTTTCTTTTTTCTTTTTTTTTTGTCAGTCATGAGGCTTGAACTCTGGGTCTGGGCATTGTCCCTCAGCTCTTCAGCTCAAGGCCAGCGCTCTACCACTTCAGCCACGGAGCCACTTCCAGTTTTCTGGTGGTTAATTGGAGATAAGATCTCGTGGACTTTCCTACCCCAGGCTGGCTTTGAACCATGATCCTCAGATCTCAGCCTCCTGAGTAGCTAGGATTACAGGCGTAAGCCACTGGTGCCACGGCTTCAGTAATTTTACTACAGTGCTAAAAGAAGTCCTAATAAAAGATTTGTGGCAGGGCTGATCAGTTGTTTGTGGGTGTACCTGTACTGGAGATTGAACTCTAGACCTGGTGTTTTTCCACATGAGTTTCATGTGGTCATTTGAACATAGCAACTAGATCTCAGCCTCCTGGGCAGTGGTATGGCTTGAATTGTTTCCTTCAAAAAGGGCTGAAGATTTCAAGAGAAATCTTTTTTTTTTTTTCTCTTTTTTTGTCAGTCATGGACTTTGCTGCTTGGGCTGGCTTTGAACAGCGATCCTCAGATCTCAGCCTGCTGTGTAGCTAGGATTACAGGTGTGAGCCACTGGGGTCTGGCTAAAGAGAAATTGTGAACATCACTTTAATGGTCAGTGAAGGAATCATAACATGTGAAAATGAGTAAATAAAAATTTATTGACTTCAAATTTAAAAAAAACGTAAGGGGGCAAATCTCATTCATCTCTACGGTTACCATTTGTTCTCCTCTGTGTCTTTAATTTCAGTGTAGATCTGAAAGCCCAATGCTTTATTTAAGAGGCAGCCTCCA